ATCCCTATCCAGCTGAATTCCTGAGAGGAGACGAAATCCAGGTCTCCTACTCCTCTGCCATCTTGCTCCGCCCCCTCATTAGAAAATAATTTTAAAACGAACTGTTTCAATGTCTTATTGAGCAGTTAATATTTCATCCATTTACCTCAACATCTCTCCAACATTTTTAGAAATGAAGACTAGTAAAGATAAAAGGGTATCAATTCATATATTTTGCTTCATATGTCAGTAAGAAGAGCTCTGTTTTCACACTTAGGTGTCAAAATCTAGAGATGAGAAGTTTATCTTCATTTCCTAACTTACCATTTTTTCTGATTTAGCTTTGATTTAGTACCAGATTTCTTCTCAATAACATTAATTTTTCCATTTTCAAATTTGACTCCATCTAACCTATGAAGAATAGATAAAAATTAGCAGTTGATGGACCAAAACAAACAACAGAAATCCAACAAATTACCTTACATCTGAACATAATTATATAATTTATATTGCCTAGAAAAGTATCTCAACAAACTCTACTCTGTGTTAAAGGAGTACCATATATTCTCCTTCAATTTTACTTCAAAGTACAGTTGATCCTTGAACAGTGCAGGAGTTAGAGACACCACTACGCCCTGGCCACCCCCCCAGAGTTGAAATCTGCATATAATTTTGACTCCCCCAAAACTTAACTAACACCCCACTGTTGACTGGAAGCCTTCCCAATAACATAAATAGTAGATCTGTATGCTTACACTTTGTATGTTATATGCATTATATATTGTGTTTTTAAAATAAATGCTAAAGAAAATGTTATTAAAATCATAAAGAAGAGAAAATACTTTTACAGTACTGTACTGAATTTATCACAAAACAATCTTAATACAAGTGAATCTGCACAGTTCAAATCCATGTTTTGCAAGGGTCACCTGCACATTAAATATAATTACTGACAAAAAACATATCAAAGCCATAGCACAAAGCCCCTCAGTGTTTTTAATAGGAAACCTGATACATGCTCCTCCTCTGCTCCTACCCCACATATTAGGTTATACCGCCACAAGCAACATACATACCTTAAAAAAAGAGAGAATTCCAAAGATTCTGGTTTATATGACAAATCTCTCTTAGGCACTTTACACATCCTATATGACAGAACTACACCAACAATCTGAGATCACTATTATCCCTCCCTTTTATATACTGAGAAACTGAAGCTCAAAGAAACTTAAGAAATCTGCCCCAGCTAGTCATTGTAGAGCTAAGAGACATATATAGGTCTAACTTTAAAGACAGTACTCTTTCCAGTATACCACACTGCCTACCACTCCAGATCCCTGTTACACAAACACCATGGAGAGTTCAAACCCACTAACAGCCTCCACAGTTTTAATCCAGGGAGTCCTACAGAGATAGTTTTAGCAGAAATTGGAGAAAAAACATATCCAAAAAGGAAGGAGTTGAGGGAGGGGAGAAGAGGATTAGCAAAGAAAAAGAGAAAAATTTTTAAAAGGACATAATGAGGTTCAAGAATAGATATTAAGGAGGAGCCATACCTACTACTCAAATTACTGAAACCAAATTTCTTTGCAACATTTTGCAACATTCTTACAGGATCATCTTCCCCAGTATTTTTCCCTTTATTGGAAGATTTTGGTTTGCTTTTCTGCTTTTCATTAACTGTTTGAGCTTGATTACTTCTGTAAACTTCAAATGCTGACTTCTGATTATCTTCATGGCAATTCATTTTATTTGAATGAGAATTCATAGTGCCCTGATATTCTTCTGGCTTTTTGTTAAAGTTTATTCTTGGTGTGAAGCCATGAATTAAAAAATCACAAGTATCTGTGTATATAAATTGTAAAAGGTACTCAAACAAGTCAGGATGAACCTTCTCTACCACAAAGAGATGGCATCCTGCAGAATCTTCATCTTTCCGGTAAACATCTGTAAAGTCTAAAGAGGTCCCATCTGAAAGAAACAATTTCTGAAAAAAGTCAGAATGCACTGCCAAAATATATTTATGTGCAGGGAAAATTCTATTGCCAACTTGAAATGTCACATCATGTATATTGTCCGTTTCATCTGTTTCCCTTAAGAGTTTGCCAAACTCTTCAAAAAAGGATGATGACGATACAGCTGGAATTTCATAAAGGCTAGAAATGAAACAAAAATCATTTTTACTTTCATGAAAAAAAAAAGCATCCCTAGTCAATTCTCCTTTTAAAGTACAATTTCTTTTTTAGTTATTAAACTTATTAGATTTTAAACCTGGCGTTTCCTAAAATATAAGAATATTGCAAAGTCTAAGATACGGTATCATACTTCAAAATGTTTTTATTCCTTTTTATATTTTTCTCCTAAACTAAAATGACAAGATTTAAGTTTTCCCTTGAAAGCAGTGTTTTTTATTTCTACAAGGAAACACTAGAATATAAATTCAAATGACCATTTCATAGAAATTTTTTAAATGACTAAACACAAATGACTATAAAACTAAAAACATCCAAAAAAAGAGTACAGTTCTCAACCTTTTTGTATCCTTTTATTTTATCCTTTATCCTTTTACTTTAAGTGAAGAAAACCAAATATACAAAGAACTGAGCAAATACTTCAGGTCAAATACCAGAATAGGTTAGAAACTCAGGAAGTAAAGATAAAGATAAATACAAATACAGACATACAATCAGTCCGTAACACTGGTTCTTTCAGTACTCTTAGATGGTTATCACACCTTCCCAATCCACATTTCACCCTTCCAGGTACCGAAAACAATCCTCCTAGTTTGCCCTGGATTGAGAGCCTTCCCAGGAGATGAGAGTTTAGGTGCTAAATATGGGACAGACCTAGGCAAACCAGTATGGATGGTCAGCCTACTTCTGGGACTTCTTTCTAATAGAACCCTTGATATTTATCTTAACCTGTCATCTCTCTACTAATGTGACTTAGAGAAGATTGGCACTGAGATTCACACTACTACCTCTTCTTTTGTTAATTTCAAGTGTTAGAAGTTTTTGCAAACTATTTAATATTTATATTTCTCAGAATCTGAGAACCTAGAGTACATCATAAAGTACTAAGATATAAATTTTGTGCATATATATCTTCAATGTTTTCAATAAATATCAGTTTACAAACTAAGAGAAACACTTATTATTCCCACTATAACAAATTCCACCTTTGAGTTATCCAGGTAACATTATTTTATGTCTAAAGCCTCTACAAGTCTTGGCAAAAGCATTTCAATTAAATTTGCTCCAGAAGCTACTGAAAACAAAAGAAAGCCCAGTGATTATTCCTTCCAAAAATGAAATTTAATATATACAAGTGTACCTTGTTTTAGGATCTGACTGCAGGATTGCAAAGTTGCATCCACTTGGATCTGTGCTGACACTAACAGCTCTATGGGCAAAAGTAAGTTTCTCAAGTCGAATTCTTTCATATACACTATTTATATCAGAGACACAAGACACATCTGATGAGGAATTATGAAGATTTGATAAAATCTCTGCTAAAAAGAAAAATAAACTTCCATTAATGGAGGCTTTACTGAAACTCTTAAAATGGTTTAGTAGTAAAGAAAATAGAAAAACAATTAAAACACGGAAATATCTTTCATATATAAGTCCTTTTGAAGAACTATATCCTCTCTCTCTTCAACATATTTTGCACCCTATGTACAGGTATTATACAGGAAATTTTGGTTAGTCAATTCTCAATTATCCATGATTTTATCCCTTTCAACAAACCATCTTCCACACTGCAACCAAAGTTCTTTCTAAAAAGCAAATCTAGTGTTATATTGGCTTCTAAAATTCCTCAGCTTGCATTAAAAATATGTAAACTTGGGTATTTTCATAATTTGCATGTTCATTTGTTTCCAAATATCTGAGTGACCACACTGTCCTACTGTGATACAGTGATCATCAGTCTGTCCCTAATGATACAGTAGTGAACAAGACAGGCATGTCCCTACCATCTCGGAGTACACAATCTAGCAGAGAAGACAGACATTTAAACAAATGATTGTATCATTACAAGTTGGATTAAGGCTATGAAACAAAAGTATGAAATTTGCATGCAAAGAAATGATTGTGGCTGCAACAGGAAGAATGTTGAAAGTAATTAAAAATAAAGACAAAGAGATCATTTAGGAAACTTTAATAAGAGTCCAAAAAAAGAATAAATAATATACACTGAAGTTGTAGCAATAAAAGTGGAGAAAAGTGGAAAGATTTCAGAAATATCGGGAGATAGAAGTGACAAAACTTGGTGACTGATCGGCTGTAGGGGTGGGGGGATGTGAGGTGTCAAAGGTAACCATTTACTTAGATAGAAAACATTAAAAAGCAAATGTGGGAGCATGAGATCATGAATTCAGTTTTAGACCACTAAATATGACTAAGATACTATTCCAAGACTTCCAACATTTACAAGTCAAACCTGCATTTTGTTTACTCTCTAAAATTCACTGTATTTCAGTATTATGGGGCTTCACTAATCTTCCCCCAAACATTCAGTTATTGCAATTTCTACACTCTCAAAAAACCTAACATATGCACATTAGTATTTGTAAACTGTAAATAGTTATGTATATGTCTATTGTCCCTACAAACTTCCGAATGTCTGAAAACGGGCCTATCTTACATATATGTTGCTATCAATAAAGCGTAGCCCTATTATCTGACACCTAGTAAATCTACTTTAAATGTTTACACAACTTGCATAATCTAGAAGAAAAAATACAACAAATCATTAATCACTTCACTGTGGCTTTATGATTTTGAAGAATATGTTTATAATTTTCTGAATAATTATAAATGTTCCTTATGTATGTCTTAGCATACAATAACTGATTTATTCATTTAACAGATGACTTAATGAGGGACTACTATGTGTCAGGAAATATACTGAATGCTAAGGATACAGTGAAACAGTCAAGGTCCTTGCCATCTTAGAGTCTGATAGGAGATAAGCATTAGAAAAATTAATCACAAAGATAAATCCATAAAAACAAGCAAAAATGACTTGCATCATGAAAATACAAAGGGAATATGAAAAGTGAAACAGGGTACTTCAATTTAGATTGAGGGATCTGTGAAAATATCTCTGATGAAGTATAAATAAAGCTCAGATGTGAAAAATTAGGAAAAGCCCTGGGACTACTAAACAAATTGAAAACCTGAAGGTCAATGTGACTGGAGAGTGGTAAATGAAAGGGAGTTCAGAGACACAGACAAGGGTCAGAGCAGGAGCTTTCAGGACAATGTTCAGGAAGTGAGGAAACCATTAAAGAGTTTTAAACACAGGAATATTAGAATCTGATCTTAAAAGATCATTCTGATAATCCGTTAAGAACAGATAAGAAGAAGTAAGAGTACAAATAAGGAAAACCTATTTTTTGCGGTAGTCCATGTGAGTAGGGCTAGGGTGGGACCAATGAACTATGAATAGGTAAATGAATTCTAGTTTTTCCAGAAGAAAAATCAACAGATAATAATTATGGATGAAAGAAAAAAGTTGGTAACCTAAGTTAAAAAACAATTCAAGTAATTCAAAAATTTATAAATTTATAATCAGATAAAATTAAGAATGAACTATATAATGAATAACTTCTATTTTCAATGGTGGCACCTTAGTTAAAGCTATCCTTTATATTCATCAAGTAATGAAATAAAACATCTCTATTTAGCAACCGCTTAATTCAACTACTTTTATTTTTTAAAATTCTCATTAATATAAAAACTTCATTCTTCCCGTAATTTCCCTTTAAGCCATGAAATGTACCTTTTAAAACTTTAATTTTAAATATACAAGTGGTGGGAAAATATATATATAGTATAAGCCACTCAATTCTCAATTTAGGGAAGAAGAGAAAAAATAGAGCTTGGAAGATGGTTTAAAAGCATCTGGGAAGTTTTTCTTTAAACTTTATACTTCCCTGGCCCTAGAGCCAACTAGTCATCTACTATTACTGATAGGAATGCACCATGACCTCAGGATATACTGAGACAGATAAATGTTTGAAAACCAGACTTAAGTGAATTGAAATCACTGTTTACCTGCACACACACAAACCAAAATCAAAATAGGAGACTTAAGGGTAAAAACCTACCAACACTTGTCAAACCTAATGAGAAACACTTGTGAAATTAAAGGTTAACTGAAAAGTACTTTACGCACTATTCACATATATGAACTCACCTTTCTTTTCAGAATTCTTTTTTTTTTCTTCAAACCATTTCCCTCTAAATCCTTCCCCATCTTGTGTGACAAATAAAATGTCTTTTCTATTTAAAGCAATGTCAGAAATAAAGACCTGGCGTGGATAGGCCCATCGACACTGCTTCACAGAACTGCTGACTGATCTCCAACAAAATACCTAAAATAAGCCCAAATTACATTAGAATATATATTCCCATACATCATCTGAACAACCAAAAAGGGAAATTGCAAGATAATATCTCTAAAACAAAAGCTCTGATTAATGTTTCCATGTTCATTCTTTCACAGGAGAAGATACTATAAAAATCAATTTATTTTTAAAGAACTGTATCTTTCATTAAAAGTACATCAAGCAAATATGAAGCATTAAAAATATTTCAAAGACATTCCTCTTAAGAAGTAATATTCAATATTACTTGTTTTTCTCAAATCTATCTGCTACAATGCTAAAGGAAAACAAAAATATGAAAGCTAAAACTTAGATATCAGACTTGTAATACCATCTGTTTGCAAGAAGAATGAAAAATCACCCTATTGAAAATCCAAACTTTAACTCTCAAGAAAAAGAGATGTATGAATAACCCAATTATATAACTAAAACAAAATCTTACAGACAGAAAAATCATAATAGAGTTCAATGGCTTCCAAGTGCTTCTGCAAACCTTAGAATTCCTGAGAAATGACTTAGAACCTGCTGCTCAGGGATGGAGAGAATAATGAGAGGTATGGTGTTGAGTTTCCCAATCCAGTTTTATCCAGAACAGTAACTCTTATCTGCTTCATCTATTTGCATTCCAAGAAAGATTTCATTTGAAAAATTAACACTGATGATTTTTAAAAGTTCAATTCCCCTCATATTTAAGAAAACTAAAACACAAAATGGTATCTGCCAAGATCACTCAAAAGTTATATAAAAAAAAAAAAAAAAGACTATACTGATTGATTCCTTCAGAGACTGGTTTTCATAGTGAGATTCTAATTTTCCAGAAAGTAATGATCCAGAGGTATACACTAGATCCATATTAATATAAATGAAACACATCCTAGAGTCAAATGTTTTTTATACTATTTTATGTAATCCCATGCCACTGCTCCCTTCCATTAGTACAAAATTAGAGTTCTAATTCTAATATAGTTCCCCATATTAAAATGATTGACTACAGATTTATACCTGTTAAGTACCAGTAGGTGGAGCTTTATGATTAATTCTTCAATTTCCAAAATGTCAAATTTTATAGTACTTTATAAACCTCAGAAAACAATCTCGTTGTATGTTTCTATTTGACAAGCAAAAAGCAGAAGGCAATCTGTGTTTTTCTAGCTACAGTGTAAAACTCTTTGTGTTACTAAGGTATATTTTTAATTTAACAATTTCATTAGAGAAATGTACTGATATATTTGCATAGGGAACAAAATTGAACTCTACTTAAATGGAAAGAGATTAGAGATTCTTCCTACAGTGATCTAGGAATGCAGCTATAGTCTCTAAAAATACACATTATGTCTACATTTGTTTAAAACTAAATCTGGGAAAAATTTTCTAATTACGCAACAAATTTTTAATATCGCCTGTTTAGCTTTTAATTTTTTTAAGAAGCAGTTATATAAAATATCTCCTATCTATGCAATTCGATATCTTCATCAGTACTCAGTATACATATCAAATAATATATCAAAATCCCTTATTTCCATTTTAAGCACAGTAAATGAAATTTTAAGCTACAGTTTAACAAAGCTGTACTGTGCAACATTAGTTAAATGTCATCAAACTTTCTTTGAAATACCAGCTCCATACTAATTAGAACTGGATGTCAAAAATAAGTAGAGAAACAAAGTCAATAGGAATCATTATCATAGTAATACATGTTCACATTATCAGGTCCCTTATAGCTATCAACTCACAACAAAATTACTTTAATATACTTCTGCATAAATATACACTCACCCTTCCAGCTCCATCCATTGCAAGAATGCAAATTTTCTGACCTCCATTTTCTTTCAAATTTTCAGGATCAACCTTGTATTCCATACGCCCCCCAGAAACAAGAACTTTTTTCAAGTTTAGTTGTCTAGGTCAAAAAGAAAATTCTTCATTAATATGTTTTCTAAAATACACATGCTCAATTTTAAAGAAATTACTAATCAAACAATAATCTAGGGTGATATATGTGAAAGGTGAAGTAAGATGATTTGGCCTTTGATAACCTTAGTCCCTCCTTTCTGTAAGTTTTCTTTATATAATGGCTGTTTCTTTTTATAGCAAGTCCTTCCCTCCCAAATGCCACTACCCATACATATACACACTTGCGACACCTAAAGCCCCACTTGAGAATGCACACGTTTACTCTACTTTTGACTTTCCCTTTCAGTTTTAAATTTTCTCTGTCCAGTTTTCTCCATCTGACACTCCAGAGCATAGCATAAAGCTGATACTCAGTTTTGCTGGAAGAATTGAATTATTATTAAGGTTGTATTTCTTTACAAAAATACACATACTTAGAAGCCATCTTCTTGCACTGATAGTCTGCAAGTAAGTAAATATCTCCCCTTGTGGTAACACAGACTGTGGCCCCATCACTTGCAGCAACCAAAGACAAAGTGATATCCTTATGATGAAGGGCAGAGACTTGACGAGGAGCAGTTACATACTTTTCTCCATTGGGATCTGGCAAATAACCTAAAAAAATTACACAAATAAATCACAAAATACCCATCTTAAAAATTCAATTTATTTTTCAGATATTGTCATCAAGATTTCTTACCCAGTTGTCCACCATTTAGCCCCATAGTGTAAACAGCTTCTCTAGTCCACAGCACCGTATGAAACCTGCCTGCTGCTACTCCAATGATTGTCCTTCCTTTCAGATATTTTGCCTGCATCTATTCAAAAAGACAAGCAAGACAGCAGTTTATTATATTATTAAGAACTTGTACAATTTTTAAAAGATCCAGTAGACCAGAGTAGCAAATATATCACATACTAACTACCAGTAAGGGCAGAATTCACTAATAGATCTTAGCACTAACACTGAGAATCCAACTCTTCTCAGAACACAAGATACTTTGATGTAGCCACTTTAAATCAGCAGATTTAACATATAAAAAATTGACCTGATAGAAAAACCAAATCATCCAACCTGTCAACAAGCAATATGTAAAACCCGGCATTCTCATTCTATCAGAAAATACAGTACTTTTAAATTTGACATATTCAGGGTCTCTCAACAGTGGCACTATTGACATTTTCAGCCAGATGACTCCTATTGATTTAACATATCACACTGATTCTTGTAGTAATATTGAACCACCCTTGCACCCCAGGAATAGCCAAAGCAATCTCAAAAAAGAAAACCAAAACTGGAGTTATCACAATTCCAGATATCGTTATATTATAAAACAGTAATAATGAGAACAGTATGATATTAGCACAAAAAGAGATACATAGATCAATGGAACAGAACAGAAAATCCAGAAATAAACCCACAATTACATGGTTAATTAATCTTCAACAAAGGAGGAATGAATGTTTACAATGGGAAAAAGACAGTCTCTTCAATGAATGGTACTGGGAAAACTGGACAGCAACATACAAAAGAAAGAAACTGGACCACTTTCTCTCACCATACACAAAATAAATTCAAAATGGATTAAAGACCTAAATGTGAGACCTGAAACCACAAAGATCCTTGAAGAGAACACAGGCAGTAAAGTATCTGACACTGGCTGTAGCAACTTTTTTCTAGATATGTTTCCTGAGGCAAGGGAAACAAAAGCAGAAATAAACCACATCAAAATAAAAAGTTTCTACACAGCGAAGGAAACAATTAACAAAACTAAAGGGCAACCTATGGAATGGGAGAAGATATATGCAAATGACATATCCAATAAAGGTGTAGTATCCAAAATATATAAAGACCTCATACAACTTAATACCCAAAAAACAAATAATCCAATTAAAAAATGGGCAGAAGACATGAACAGACATATCTCCAAAGAAGACATACAGATGGCCAAGAGACACATAAAAAGATGCTCATCATCAGGGAAATACAAATCAAAACTACAATAAGATACCACCTCACACCTGACAGAATGGCTAAAATAAAAAACACAGCAAGTGCGGGCAAAGATGTGGAGAAAGGGGAACCCTCCTGCACTGTTAGCAGGAATGCAAACTATTGCAGCTACTGTGGAAAACAGTGTTGAGGTTCCTCAAAAAATTAAAAATAGAACTAGCCTAGGAGCTAGGAATTATACTACTGGGTATTTACCCAGAAAACACAAAAACACTAATTTAAAGGTATACATGCACCCCTATGTTTATTGTAGCATTATTTACCATAACCAAACTATGGAAACAGCCAAGTGCCAATCAATAAATGAATGGATAAAGATGTATGTGTGTACACACAAACACACACACACACACACACACACACACACACACACCAATGGAATATTATTCAGCCATAAAAAAGAATGAAATCTTGTCATTTGCAACAACATGGATGGAGCTACAGAGTACAATGCTGGGGAAAAAAAAAAAAAGTCAGAGAAAGACAAATACCATATGATCTCACTCATATGTGGAATTTAAGAAAAAAAAAAAGAGCAAAGGAAAAAAAGAGAGCGACAAAAACAAATCAAGAAAGAGACCCTTAACTGTAGAGAACAAACTAATGGTCACCACAGGGGAGGTAGGTTGGGGAATGAATGAAACAAGTGATGGGGATTAAAAAAATAAAAGAAAATGAAAAAAAAGAAAGAAAAGAAAAAATACTGGACATATTCAGGGTCTCCCAACAGTGGCACTACTGACATTTTCAGCCAGATGAATCCTCGTTGTAGGGGACTACCCTATAAACTGTAGTTTTAGCAGCATCCCTGGACTCTACCTACTAGATGTCAGTAGCACGATTTCCATTCCCACCCCCAGTTGTGACAACTAAAAATGTCTCTGCACATTGCCAAATGGCTCCTGGGGATGCAAAAGTAACTGAGAATACTGAATATGTCCATATCAACCTAAAGCTCCAAGATAGCCACACAATAAGAATAAATACAGGAATAAAATCTATCATTTGTAAAGAAATCTATGATTAAATATCCACGAAGTCCACGTCTGTAGAAAATGGATCTTCCAACCAAAAAGTACCACAGATTGGAGATTACCTCTAACAACTTCTCAGTAATTCCTATTGATTCATTAGTCATCCAGAATGGAAAAGCATTAGATTTAAAAGTTTATTAATAAAAAATGTATATCTAATAATAATCTTAAATCCAGAAGATTAAACCAGTAAAGAAACTTCACCTCTGAAATACAAAATTTTATGAGCTGAAAACTCATTTGTTATTGAGTGATGATTCTAGCAACATATTAATTTAGAGCACCAGTCCTAGTTCTTTGAACTAGGTCTATGAAGTACTCTTGAGTAAAGAGTACCTTCTGGTAGTGGCTGTGCAAATGGGAGGGGGAAATTAGAACAAACAGTGGCTTTTGGGCCCATGTCCCCTGACATAAACTTGCCATGTATATTTTCGGTGCAGAGGAAGATTTTCCATGAGGCCAGTAAGCTTAGTGTTCTGGGTAACTCACTTCCATGGCCATTTTGCATTTATAACTTCATATTTTTTCTTAAGGAGGGATTCAAAATTATTTGTTTCAAACCGCAAAAAAGTGGATCCCCCTCTGCTTATAAATACTTAAAAAGCTGAAACTAAAGCACTTTGGGGCCTAATTTCCTAAGTGCCTTCTTACTCCAAACAAATGCTAATTTGTACAATGCTTAATGTCTCCTGTGAAAAATAAAGTATATACCATCAAATATAAGTAAAATAAATTGCATATCAATACCTTCCATCTTTTTGTCCATACAGGTTTTATAGCAAATAGTCACCTTGTTTTAAAAAGGAAGCTTACCTGTCTGGGTACATTACAACTGGAAGGTGGAGGAATAATTCCTAATTGATGAAAAATATTCAGACCAAAAGTATAAACACATCCATCTTCAGTCAGTACAACAGTATGATCCTTAGCAGCTGCCACTTGGGAACAATTATGACCACTCAGTCCTTCCACAAGCCTAGGGATCTACAAAATAAAATTAACTTTAATATATTTTTTCTTTTTTTTTTTTCTTCTTAAAGAAAGGCAGACTACCACGTGCAGTGCCTCATTTGGATGTGTCTGGAGTCTTGGAAACTTGACTACCCTACGTTCTCCTACAAATGGACTTGAGAGCTTGTTTGGACGTTCTCGCAGGGGAGCGCAGCTATTCGTATACCCCTGACCCAAGAATGGTCCTCCTCTATCAGGGAAGGTCGTCCTCTTCAACGGAGCGCGCAGCTTCGGGAGGGATGCACATGGAGAGGTGAGGGAGGAAGGGGACACCTGCCTAGCCAGCCAGATCAGCTGAATCAACCCTGGCAATCAATGGAGTGACAGATGTCGCAGCCAGATCACCCTCACATCCTATAATATATTAACCATTTATATAAAAATACAAATAGAGTCTGGTGATACTATATCCAAATGACATGACTAATAAATGGCTGATCTATCATGGGTAAACTCTACAATTTAGCAAGGGATAGGTGAGTTTAACAGGATATGGACATCGGTTTATGAGTAAAATACAAAACCCCAGTATGACATTTCAGTAAAATAATTCAATCCAACAAGTGATTTTTGAGCCCTTATCATACACCAAGTGCAAATTTGGTTGGTATAAATAAAGGGAGCTCTTCAGCCAAAGTATTCACTGATGTATTGAAAAAAATAAATAAAAATACAGGAAAATACAGGTGTGAGGAGTAAATGAGTTGGTAAGTATAAAAAACAACAGTCTGACACTGCATAAAATGAAAATAATGTCTATAATCTCAAAGGGTTGCTGTGAGGCTTAAGTCAAGGTAATGATACTGCTTGAAAAGCATCACTGATGCCTAGAACATAATAAACCCATGAGAAATGGGTGTTGTCATAGCTGTCCCTACTTTTTAAAGCACCCTTTAATAGATAAATATACCAGTAATCCTGTCAAAAAAAATTTACCTTAAAAAAAACCTACTGAGGCAACTTTACTGAATGCAATAATTAATAGGCTTCTTCCAATTAGCACTAAGTTTCAGTACTGTAAGACTCAATTTTGTGATTATACAATGAAAATACGGGCTCAACTTTTTAATTTTTTTTTTAAGATTTATTTATTTAGAGAGAGCACACACACGCAAGAAGGGGGAGGGGCAGAGGGAAAGAATCTTCAAGCAGACTCCCCACTGAGTGCAGAGCCCTACACAGGGCTAAATCTCACAATCCGTGAGATCATGACCTGAGCTGAAACCAAGATTCAGAGGCTTAACTGACTGAGTCACTCAGGCGTCCCCTGGCTCAACTTTTAGACCACAAATACTCTGATGAGAAGTTAAAAAAAAAAAAAAAACAAACACCAGGGTTTTGCAATTAGTCTGACTTATGGGGCACCTGGGTGACTCAGTCAGTTAAGTGGCTGCCTTCAGCTCAGGTCATAATCTTGGGATCCTGGGATCAAGCCATGTTGAGCTCCCTGCATGGGGAGTCTGCTTCTCCCTCTCCCTCTGCCACTCCCCTTGCTTGTGCTCACATGCGTTCTCTCTCTCCATCAAATAAATAAATCTTAAAAAAAAAAACAATAGTCTGACTTTTAAAATTTCAACTATGGAAATATTTTAAGGCTTATTTATATGCTCTCCTGTCCCAGTATTTGCCAAATACAAAATATAATTTTCCTTTGATGCTTTAGAATTTGGCATATCTAAATCCTTTAATTTGAACATGATATACCAAGAAACTGATTTATTTTAAAAGATTTATTTATTTATTTCAGACAGAGAGAAAAAGAGAGTGTACAGGGAGTCTGCTTCCCCTCACCTACTGCCCCTGTTGAGCAGTGAGCCCATAACATGGCTCTATTCCCTGACCTGGAGAGCAGGACCTGAGCTGAAACCAAGAGTCAGAGGCTTAACTGACTAAGCCACCCAAGTGACCCAACTAATTGATTTAACTCTACTATCAATTGTTATATTACTCTCTGCTTACAGTAGATTAAAAATAATACTTTTTTAATTAACTGAAGTTTCCGTGTTATGGAAATTTTACTGAAGTTACCTAAAATGTGTAATGACATTTCAATTACCAAGCATGTCTGTTCATCTCCATGGCCTAAACGTCCTCCGGGACCATGACCACAGGTATAAACCTGCCCTTTCTGAGACAGAAACACTGAATGAAATTTACAAAGCACCACCTAAGAGAAAACAAAAGAGTATTATTAAATTTCTCTGAATAAAATATCCTTTATTTTATAAAAAAAATAAGTTACTGCTAACTATTTAAGCTGGATGATGGGTAAGTGGGGATTTATTATATGTTCTAATTTGAACATGTTCTATAATAAAAATTAAAAATATATATGCTTTATTTTAAAACCATGTCTACAAACATTGACAAATGGGAATAAGAACAAAAAAGAAATTAGGAATATGTTACCCACAAAAGAGACTAAACAAAGGAAATGAAAATCTCAAATGTTCAACTACAAAAAGCAGTAGCCAGCTGTTTTCCAACTTTATAGAATCCCAAACAACAAGAACTGGGCAGTGCAATATGAAGCACAAATATTAACAAATACTGATATATGTTATTTAAAATAATGGAAATGGCTTAAGTGTATTTTAAAAAAACAACATCCCCTATACAGGGATTGATGGCTAGATAATATGTCCTTTTAATATCTCTGATTTTGTCGAATATATCTCTAATATCATTACATGACTTTAAATAATTCTCTATTTTCAAGTTTTACTCTCCTCCCATTTCCTTTTCTACCTGCCATCTTTCCAACACCCTCCATGCCCTCTTGACACAGAATTACATGTTCACAGACTCTTACCAAAAGATAAGGGTATACTTAAATGACTGAACTTCATCAAAAAGAAGTAACAGAAAATCAACAGCAGTTTTAAATACAGGCATAGCTCAGAGATAATGTGGGTTTGGTTCTAGATCACTAAAATAGGGGGAATTTCCCAGTAAAGTGAGTCAAATAAATTTTTGGTTTCCAAGAGCATATAAAAGTTATGTTTAAATTATACTGTAGTCTGTTAAGTATGCAATAGCACTGTGTCTTTTAAAAAAAAATGATGTACATATCTTAATTTTTAAAATATTTTATTGCTAGGAAGTACCAACCATCATCTGATCTTTCAGCAAGTCACAATCTTTTTGCTGGTTAATGGTCTTGCTTCAGTGTTGATGGCTGCTGACTGATCAGGGTGATGCTTGCTGAAAGTGAGGATGGCTGTGGCAATTTGTTAAAACAAGTCAACAGTGAAGTTTGCCAAATCAACTGACTCGTCCTTTCATGAATGATTTCTCTGTAGCATGCAATGCTATTTGATAGCATTTTACCCACAGCAGAACCTCTTCAAAAACTGAAATCAATCCTCTCAAACCCTGCCACTGCTTTATCAACTAAGTTTATAAACTATTCTAAATCCTCTGTTGTCATTTGAACAGACTTCACAGCATCTTCACCAGGAGTAGATTCCATCTCAAGACACCACTCTCTTTGCTCATCCATGAAAAGCAACTCCTCAGCCCATCAAGTTTGATCATGAGATGGTAGCAATTCAGGCCCGTCTTCAGGCTCCACTTCTAATTCTAGTTGCCCTGCTATTTCCACCACATCTGCACTCACTTTCCCCAATGAAGTCTTGAACCCCTCAAAATCATCCATGAAGGTTGGAATCCACTTTTTTAATTGTTTAAATTTTATTATGTTATGTTAATCACCATACATTGCATCATTAGTTTTTGATGTAGAGTTCCATGATTCATTGTTTGCATATAAAACCCAGTGCTCCATTCAGTACGTGCCTTCCTTAATACCCATCACTAGGCTAACCCATCCCCCCACGCCCCTCCCCTCTACAACCCTAAGTTTGTTTCTCAGAGTCCATAGTCTCTCATGGTTCATCTCCCCCTCCAATTTCCCCCCCTTCATTTTTCCCTTCCTGCTATATATATATATTTTTTAACATATAATGTATTACTTGTTTCAGAGCTACAGGTCTGTGATTCAACAGTCTTACACAATTCACAGTACTCACCATAGCACATAACATCCCCAATGTCTATCACCCAGCCACCCCATCCCTACCACCCCCACCACTCCAGCAACCCTCAGTTTGTTTCCTGAGATTAAGAATTCCTCATATCAGTGAAGTCATATGATACATATCTTTTTCTCATTGACCTATTTTGCTCAGCATAATACCCTTCAGTTCCACCCAGACTGTTGCAAATGGCAAGATTTCATTCCTTTTGATGGCTGTATAATATTCCATTGTATATATACACCACATCTTCTTTCTCCATTCATCTGTTGATGGACATCTTGGCTCTTTCCA